CGGGGTTCGGGGTAACCCCCTTTTTAGAGATTCATGTAAATATCTGTCATGAAACCCGACGCCTTCCTTTTAAATACACGGGAATATCTATCAGAACATAGTTTTGAGGCATCTTGAGCTATGGTTTCTGGAGCTACATTCTTCACAAAGTCACACCACAGCAGGCTGCCCAGGCTGCCTAAGTTTACCGGTGGCGGTTTATCTCCCGGAGATGTATAGCCCACGTCCGCGAGATACTCATCCTTTTTGCTGACCCAGAACCATGATATGTAACGGAGAGAATGGCCAGTGCAGCGAGCGTGTTGCTGAACGGCTAGATGAGAGTCACTAATCACAATTTTACCAGGAGGTTTCCAAGGTGGGGGGCCGCCGATCCAATTTTTTTGAGAAAGAAAGAGTAAAAATGCCTCTTTCTCACGAGTAATAAGCGTCTCACCGCTACCGATTGGGCCTGAGCATGGAGAACATATAAAGGATTGAGGTATCTGCGTCCACCACCAGGATTGCAGGTTTACATGGGGTACGCCGCTTCGAGCCTTCTCCAGAACAAACCTATCAAGGCCAGTGATCGCACTCCCCAGCCACCAACCTCCAACCGACGTATTTTGGAACATGCACATAGCTGTAGCGTGGCGCAGGTTCACGGAATCAAGGATTGAGAATATGGGCTCTAACCACTCGCTGCATAGATTGCATGGAACTGACGGTTCGAAAAAGACGCTGCAGAGAAGAGAAAGAATCACAGTACAAGCAGAACTTATAGTCATAAGGTGTAGCATCCGGCGATTTAGCTCTTCGAGGTCTTCACATTGCGGCCCCGAGTCCACCATCGGAGAATTGGAAGGTGTGCATATCGGCGCCGGTAGCATGAAAGGGGTTCCAGTGTGTGCATGTGTGGGGATCATGAGGGCTGCCACGAAGGCTGTTTTTGCCTGCTCCATAAGGCCGTGTTGGAGGCAGAAATCTCGGAGATACTGATAGCTAGTATGCGCGCCCGGGCATTTTATAGGGGATACAGGTGCAGGTCCACATATAGTCAAATTCAGGTTACTGGTGAGGCACATTGCCCATGGTGACTGGTATTCAACGTCGTCACAAAGAAGAATTGAGGCTACCCATCCTTGCCCAGGAGCAAGGACTGCTGACCACCACCTCACGACTTCTGGATTCTCGGTGCAAGTTTCTAGTATTGGGCCATAAGCCTGGCCTGGGGCGCAAGTCAGTGCCCTCGCGGCTGTATATCTAACCTGCCCGTCCTGTGACATCGCCCAGGCGCTGGAAAGGATATAAGCCCATGCCAGGGTCAGCGCGGCCACATAGTCCCTTCCATCTCCATTGCCAATCCAGCCTCTCAATCCATGACATTCATCGAGGTTGCAAGGAATAACATCTCGTAAGCCTAAAAGGACGTCTTGTGCCACCATCTTGCTCTCTGCCAGGCGCATGAAGTCTTCATTATACGATGAATTGCACTCACTCTCCTCCAAGGAATCAGGAGCCTCACAGCCCCATGTATCTGTTGTTGACCATTTCACGACCCCTTTACCAAATACATATTGTTTGGAAGAGTCAACATATTCCGTATGACGAGAATGTGTATAGTCAGGGACACTCTTAAGTCTTCGACTGATGTCTGGTACGTATCCCAACGGCCCATCGGCTATCATTTCACGCAAAAAGTCCCAGTGTATTTTGCTTTGGCGGATAATCTTTTTTCGTTCCTCAACAGACGGAGCAATATCCCGTTCATATTGAAAGCAACTCATCTTGCTATTCCTCACTCTTGTAAGCTGGATTTGATAGACAGGCAGGCCAGAGACGATATTCAGCCCTTGTCTAGTGGTGTCGATTGATCGTGCCTACTACCTGATACATCAACAACCGATCGTTGTGCGGAAGGCACGATGAGCTGAGTGTAAATGATCAAGCCACCATCGCAAGGGATTACAATAGCCCATATCATAAACCTTGAAACGCTCAAATTGAAATACAAAGATTCCCAAGAATATAAACCATATTTTGCATTAACTCCAGGAACTAGGCTGACATATAACCGTAAGGGGGAGACGATCCTCTATAAATACACGAAAAAGAAGGTGGGGCGGAGATATTAAAATCTATCATAAATAGAATACACCCCAGGTGAGCAGGAGCCCGTCCATGGGGATGCACGCTGCCGTAGAATGTAAAGGGGTAGGAGGAGGGGAGTCAATCATATTAGCGATTTAGACAACCTTCCCAAAGGCGGGTATAAGGGTTTGTGCTAGCCAGAAGCTGAACACTAGCTTGGGACCGGTCATGAGAAGTTTGGGAGTTAATCCCTTGAAAAAGGCGGTCATTCCCTCATTTCTGGCCATACTGCTGACGATACGGAATCCGGACTCAGGGTTCTCGAAGTTTCGGTTCTGAATGCGTGTCTTGATCACATCGAGAGGAGCGGAAACAATGAGAGACGCGCTGGCACCGGCAATTGAGGCAATGAAGTTCTGGAACCAGGTTGCCGAGTTATAGTCAGTGAGACCATAAAGATATTCCTTGGTGAAAGCGGAGCCACCAAACAGCTAATGGAAACGATGTCAGTAATAATCCGGGCTTTGTGGGTGATATAAAGGCAAAACGTACAGCGAAAGAACCAGGAGCATTACGAGCAGCAGTCCATCCAGCACCACGGTAGAGGCCCATGCCCTCATCAGCAATGATTTTGAAGAGGCCTCTGCCACGGAAAGCCTCTGGGTTGGTTTGTCGCTTAATCTTGAGGACGTCAAGTGGCAGGAGGACAATTTCTCCAATACCAATCAAACTAGAGCCTTGTCAGCACTAGAAAAGCAAGGTGAAAGAAAGCGGTGCGCTTTTACACACCTTCCAGCAGTAGCGTGCATGATGGCCTTGCCGGTTCCTTTTCCAAAGGCATTGTCAAAGTCCTTTCCGTAGTTTGTGCCTAGGAAGTCACGCACAAATGGCTGGCCACCATACTTGTATATTCTTTGCAGAACCTAGTGCTTATTAGATATTGGCCTGATGCTGTATATCCGCTGACCATAGGACGCACCTTATATCCAGCAGCGTATCCAAGACCGGGGAAGAGGGACGTGAATTTGCGCACAACACCGGCGGAGGAATATTCCTTAAAGATAACCTTGTTCAATTCGGAAACATTGGTAATCTAATGACAAAGGTTAGCAACAGAGCATAATCACCCATAATCTAACAGAGAACGTACCTTTCCCTGGTTGCTCATAAGACGTTTAGCCGTTGTGTCGACCTAATTCATCGGATTTCTTAGTCATTTGTCCTTCAAATGCATTCCAATGCGTCAATGTCATTTACCGGATGGAAGATGAGCAGTTCCGCAATTCCAGCAGATCCTATAGCAAATTGCATCAGCAACAATTGTCATCTACTTCAATTAGAGCTTTGACATACCTGATCCCAGCAGACGAGCAGTGCCCGACTCTCTTTTGACATCCTTGGTCGCTGAGCCAGCTCCAGCAACAGCCATTGCAGGTGGAGACATTTTTAATAAATTGAAGGGGGTTCTCGTTCGTGATCTCTTTAAATAATTCTAAGGAAGCAAAGGTCGTAAATAGAAGTATCAACAGAGCAGTCTACAGGGCAGAACAAAAAGAACAAGCTTGGAAAACGAAGATGCCGCTGGAGGTGTGAACCTGGTCGTTGCGTTGCAGCCGATGTCGCTTTTCGAGTCCCAAAATTTTCTTCCGTCGGTAGCTTCGGCTTGGCGTGCCTGAATAACACGTGAGAGCGGCCAGGGTCCGAGATTTAAACTTCCAGTGTCGAGATCCACAAACTAGTCATTGAATAACACTGATATCAGCGAACTCGTTTGACATGCCATTGTTTAATATAGGGTCTCTTCAAGTGAACCTGGGGCTATTTGGTACGTGAAGATGCTGGTTATTCATAGCCGTGCTATGAATAATGATGTATCTTACGCTTTCCATATTCCATTGATGCATTATTGTTGGCAGCGCCATTTCAATACCCAAGTAACCCAAGCAGGGCTCACCATCACTCAATCCTTCACTAGCTCTGTCAAGCAGGGCCGGTTATACCAAGTCACTAGAAAAATACCCAGGAATTTGCTTGGAAAGCAGTGGCCAGGACAGCTGTATAAAAGCTTGCCCATTTTATGTTTGCTGCATTCTGTTCTTGAAATCTTGCAACTCTCTACACAATCATACTCCCGACTCCTGTTTCTGCTACAGCTGCAGCACCCTTGTTGGTCCTGATACCCACGTTCGGCCGCGTCCACCAAGTTCGTTAAGTATATTAATATGAAGCTCGCCAGCGCCGTCTTCATCGGCCTTGCCGCTTTCGTGGCCTATGCTCAAGCAACTCCGGTTTCACCCTCAGAGACACCCACAACCGGCGAGTTTACTAGGACCCCTGGAACCGTCGTCGACACAAGAAAGTTCCAAGGCAAGATGTCAGCCAAGCCCTCCAAACGCAACACTCCTACCGATGATGAGGTTTTAACCCTCGATCTGAGTACTATCTCTGCGCCCATCCAGCCAGAAGACCCGGACCACGCCATCCTTCCAAGCCACACTCCCGCAATCCGTGGCCGCTCCGGTGCTACTATAGACTGCCCTCCCTACGCACCATGGACGTGTGATGGAGTTACTTGCTTCAATTTCTTTACTCATAACTGCTGCAAGGGAGGGGTGGTTTGCAAGGATCCCGATGTCTGCGTGCGTAATTACTTGGGCCAACCCGCTTGCCATAGGAATTAATCATGGGACAGTTCAGAGTACAAGATGTCGGACCTCTGAATTGTTGCGTGGGGTTAGTCTTATGGAATCTTGCATGTGGCCTTATTACATCTTAGCCATCATGTCAACTTAGTCTTGCCCATGCAACCATGTCCTAGCTATACTTGAGCGTCAAATATTCTTTTGAATATTAACAAGAGAAGCAACTCCTCTCAATAACTTATTTCTGTGTCTTGACGTGTCAATAGAGATGAGTTTTAATGTAAGCTTTTTCTATATAGTTATGCCAAGCTTTTACAGATAAACAATTTTTGAAGCTCCCTTTGAGCCTCATCGACCAAGCAGTAATCACCGACGTCTAAACACAAAGACAACGTTGACTTCCTCGAAGGTCTGAACACAGACCGATACCCGAGACATAGCCTACCTGCAGCAATATTCAAGCGCCTGTGTCATATATCACACCAAGTAGCAGCACGATGTTTAACCCTCTCCCACCAATAGAGCCTAGGGACGTGAGTGCTACCACTCAATAACAGCTGCAACAGCGCTCCTACTGATAATAATTTTTACAGTCTCATACCCTATGGTACTCATCCTCGTACACAGGACGGTCTGCAGCCAACTCTTCCCAGAACCCAACTTCCGGAGCGCAGAACCCACAACCTGGCCGTCGAAATGGCCGGTCTCAAGGAACAAACACCCCTCTCTTCTCAGCTTCATTTGATCCGCTTTCTACACTACTCGCGGAAGAACGAGCCCTTACATTACGAAAACAGAACATTGCGTCCTTTGGATTTTCGTGGATTCGGCCTGCCGGTTTCCCCAAGACCATGATGGGCCTGCGAGAAGAAGAGCTGGAGTGCGAGGAGGGTGCCGGTGCGGGCTTAGGCGAGGGCGATATAGAAGAGGAAGAGTTCATGGAAGGAATTGAAGGTGGTGAGGGAGGTTTGGGGCTAGATGGTGCTGGGGAGGGTGTAGAAGGGGATGCTGGCATGGAGAGGGATTTGGACGGTGATATACCTGATGGCGACGGGGAAGGGTTTGGGCTGGTGGAGGAAGGCGAGGAAGGATATGAAGATGAAGAGGAAGAGTTTCTGGATGAGGAAGAAGAAGGGATGATGGCGAGAGATCTAGATGACGATGTCCCTGAGGCTCCGGATGCAGATGAAGAAGATGAAGAGGAGGATGGAGACGAAGATGACCAAGAAGACGGATACGGTGACACTAGTGAGGTGCGTCCACCGAATAATACTAGGACTCCTGGTGAGTCGCATATGATGATGGAGCGGGATCTAGACGGCAGCGTCCCAGATGCGCCACAGGAGACTCCCTCTCGACAACAGGAATGGGAACATACAGACTCTGATGAAGATGTCTATGACGAAGACGATGACGAAGTTGAGGAAGAAGAACAGGAAGGGGAAGATGAAGGTACGGATGAAGGCCATTCGAGGTTAAGCTGGGCCAGCCTACCTCCAGGGTATATCCCCCATCTCACACCCTCAGGGCCGCGGCGAGAAACCGAAGCTGAACGATTGTTCATTGAACGGTGGGGAGGGAATGATGACAGTATAGATATTGGGTCCAGCGACATGCTACCGGCGAATCCGTTGAGTATATCTCGACGGCGAAGCCGGAGACATGCGGACGAGGACTCTGACCTAGAAGAGATGTGAATGATAGGTGGCGTACCATTAGATTAGAACAGCTTATCAATACCCAGATATATTTTACAAGAAACATGCTAAACGGATGAGGTATTACAAATCAGTGAATTTCATGTTAAGAATAACACTTCGCTAAGCAGCAGAAGTAGAGAAGAGAAGAAGAAGGGGAAGAGAAAGAAGAGAGGGAATATGCGCCCCTGGACATATACAGAGAAATGGAAGGGTGAGAAAAGGGTACACGTCAGGCATTATCGTATGTAGCGTCAGCATCCTATGGCCACCAGAAGAACAGAAGAAACAAGCTGAAATCCCATAACTCCTCTTAACGAGTTAAACCCAAAGTGAAAAGTTATATTCCAGAAGAGCAAGTGCAGAAGAAGTATCCAACATCAAGCAAAAGAAAGGCGTGGGAGCGTGGCGTGGCGTGGCAATTGCAGGCGCAGTGGGAAAGACTATGACAGCCAAACGTAGGCAAAGAGGAAGAAGACGAAGACGAAGAAGCCTAGCCAGACTTTCCAGCCTACGCCAGTCCGCTCCGCCATTCTGAGCATTCGGTTCATGGTGCCTCGTAGCTTGACGCGGGAGGAATCGAAGGCATCGTTCATTTTCTCTGCGAGGGAGGTCGAGTCTCGTATCTCGTCGCCGATGGCTACTGTGATCTATAAATCAGTCCTCAGTTAGCATGAGACTCTTAAGCGTGCACGTATGTGAGCATGCTAAGGTATGCGTACATCTTTCAACATCTTCACTTTGGCTGTGATGCCTGCTATTTCCGAGTCGTTCTGCGACTCTAGAGAAGATAGTACCGCATCTGAGTATTGACCTCTAGATTGACTCGTTAGTTGGTATATCCTACAAGGAAAAAGAATAGACCGGTAAAAGAAGTGATATAGATGAACTGACTTTGAATTCGGTGTAGCGGCCCTGTAGGCGGACCCATCACCTCCGCCGACACCTATATGGCCATTCAAATACCCCTGCGTGTATCCACCAGGCCGCGAAGGGGATCGACTGCTGGCTTGTGCATGAGCAGGCGACCTGCTGACGCCGCCGTTATATGAGTCGAAGAGCGAGGAGGAAGACCGGGGATCTCGCTGGTGGAGAGTTGAGTGGGTGAATCTGGCGCCGTGTTAGAAGAAGCTGCTGTGCGCGTGTTGGGCCGCATGGTGAAGATGACTCGATGTCTTACCGGGATGCCATTTATTCAGACTGTGAGAGCAAAGAAGAGAGAGACATGAGACATTGTCTAATCTGGCCAAGGGATGAAGAAAGAGAGATCTGTTGTTTCTTAGCGATTTAATTTTAAGATTGAAATGCGTTCATATGATGCTTAGTCAGCAAAACAAGGAGAGCTTATGTTGTGGCTGGTTAGCTGGGGACTTGGGGAGACGAAGGATGGCAAAAGCAGGCGCAGGAACATGGAGAGAAGAGCTAGATCATTGGCTCGAGCGAGTAAGGAGGTTTGAACTGGTAGTGACCTGATTCGTAACTGAGAAAGGGGCCTCTGATAAGACACGGGAGACATATAAGAGAACACCAGTCACCTGTTTGGTTCGTTAAAATAGTAATCTTGTTTCTTTTTTTTTGAATCATCCATCCCATCATCATAATTTGAATAATAGTAAAATCTGTTTCGTAGTATGTGATTTTCCCTCAGAAGTGACTCTCCCTTTGAGACCGTTTCCATCCACCAAAGCCAGCCAGCCCACCCCATCCGGCCACAATAAAAAAAAAAGGTGAGAAATTTGAAAGAAGTGAGAAAAAAAGTCAAAACAAGAGTAGTGGCTCAAACTCCGGCGCCGTTAAAGGGAAGACCGAATGCAGCATGAAGCTGGTTCATTGAGTTGGTTTAATGCTCCATGTCGTCGTCAACAGGGGCTTTGAAGTCTTCGTCGTCGTCGTCGTCCATGGCAACGTCACCCGTCTCCTTCTCCTTGGCAGCAAGTTCCGCGTAGTTGACCTCCTTGCCGCGCGTGCGTCTGCCACTGGGCAGGATGTTGTCTGTCGAGATGGGCTCGAGGTTATCGTTCCCGCCCTCCTCATCTTCATCGACAGCTAATATTGACAGTCAGTGCTGAACTTGAACTCTTGGCTTTTGATCAACTTTTGCGCACGCAGCAGGTGTATATAGCTCTTACCATCCTCCTACAACAACAACAACCGTGTTAGTCATACAGCTTTCAACTAGTATAGAGAAGGGAATTTACGAGATCGTCTTCGTCCTCTGAGCTGTCGTCTGCCTCCATCTCCACATCGTCAGGCACGCGCTCAACGGCCTTGCCCTTGCCCTTGTCCACGGAAGTGTCCATGGCGGCGTCGTTTCCGGCGAGTGTAGTCTCGGTGTTGTCACCCATTGTGCTGTGCTAGTCAAGGGAACGTGTCTGTACCGCTGAAGAAGGATGTCTCAAAGGCTTGTAGCTGGTCTTGCTGCACGAAGTTCAAGTTGAAGCTGAAAGCGAAGAAAAGTTGCTCGTCGCGCCGAAAGTCGGAAAAAGGCTCGAGTTGAGTTTCGCGACCCAAGAAGGGAAGGTCGAGGTGCTTAGTCATGAATCACGTGACACAACCCACTGACTCTGCAGGCTTTTTTGCGGCGCTTAAGGGGAAGAAGCCAGACATCGAAGAAGGCGAAGACGAAGAGGACGAAGAGTAAGACGAAGTAGAAGTGAAGTAGAAGTTGACGTAGACAGAGTAGAGCAGACAAGGCCACAACAACTGAAGCACTCACTATCTACCGTCCATCACTCCTTCACTTTCCCACCAGCTTGCTCTGCTTGCTCTGCCTGCTCAGCTCTAGAGTTCGCGAACTTTCCAGCATCCCACCTTGATTACGTCATAAGCCCACCTTGAATTTTCCCGCCACTTTCCCCCCCCTCGACGCTGCTGGGTAAACAGACCTCGCAGCGCAGCAGAAAGTAGACGGCAGCGACGGCGAGGAGAGGCAGCGAGACGGCCAATTAGTGGGCGACAGCAGGGTAGACGACGGGCGCGTAGCAAGACAGGCCGGACAGGCCGGACAAAGAGGCAGAAGAAGCTGCTGGAAGTGACGAGAGGGAGGCAGACGCAGCGCGAAGGGGCCTGAGGTGGAACCGGGCGAAGAAGTTGCTAGAAGCTTCTGGCAGGCCAAAAACCTCACCGCCCGCATATAAACATATTTCAACTCGCACAACTTCTCTTCGTCCCTCTCTTCTTCTTCTTCTCTTCCTCACACTCACTCGCACTCTCACTCTCGCGAGAAACATCTTCTTGATCAGCATTTGATCAGAGATAGCAGCTTCACACACTCAAGAAGCGTCTTAGAACCCCCTCCTCTTTCGCTTGTACACTACCTTGTTTTGTCACACCCGCCAGAAATACACAACATCCAAAATGGCTCCCGCAGTTGGTATGTACCTGACCTGAACCACTCGAGAGAGACGGGAGACTGGAGACAGAATGCCAGGCTCTCCAGCAGCTTAAAAAAAAGACCAGTGATAGCTAACGTCTTCCTAGGTATCGATTTGGGTACCACGTACTCCTGCGTGGGTATCTTCCGTGATGACCGCATTGAAATCATCGCCAACGATCAGGGAAACCGCACCACTCCCTCCTTCGTTGCCTTCACAGACACCGAGCGTCTCATTGGAGATGCCGCAAAGAACCAGGTCGCCATGAACCCTATCAACACCGTCTTCGATGCTAAGCGTCTCATTGGACGCAAGTTCAACGACGCCGAGGTCCAGGCCGACATGAAGCACTTCCCCTTCAAGGTTGTCGAGAAGAGCGGCAAGCCCATCGTCCAGGTCGAGTTCAAGGGCGAGGAGAAGCAGTTCACCCCTGAGGAAATCTCCTCCATGGTCCTCACCAAGATGCGTGAGACCGCCGAGGCCTATCTCGGTGGCACCGTCAACAACGCTGTCATCACTGTCCCTGCCTACTTCAACGACTCCCAGCGTCAAGCTACTAAGGACGCCGGTCTCATTGCCGGTCTCAACGTCCTCCGTATCATCAACGAGCCCACTGCTGCTGCTATTGCCTACGGTCTCGACAAGAAGGCCGACGGTGAGCGCAACGTTCTCATCTTCGATCTCGGTGGTGGTACCTTCGATGTCTCCCTCCTGACCATCGAAGAGGGTATCTTCGAAGTCAAGTCCACTGCCGGTGACACTCACTTGGGTGGTGAGGACTTTGACAACCGTCTCGTCAACCACTTCGTCAACGAATTCAAGCGCAAGAACAAGAAGGTATGGGCATATTAAATTCTCCCCTTTCTCCAATTGAAATAAAATTAAAAGTTACTAACCTTTTTGACAGGATCTCTCCACCAATGCTCGTGCTCTCCGCCGTCTCCGCACTGCCTGCGAGCGTGCTAAGCGTACTCTCTCTTCTGCTGCCCAGACCTCCATTGAGATTGATTCTCTCTATGAGGGTGTTGACTTCTACACCTCCATCACCCGTGCTCGTTTCGAGGAGCTCTGCCAGGACCTCTTCCGCTCCACTATGGAGCCTGTCGAGCGAGTCCTCCGTGACGCCAAGATCGACAAGTCCTCCGTCCACGAGATTGTCCTCGTCGGTGGTTCTACTCGTATCCCCAAGATCCAGAAGATGGTCTCCGACTTCTTCAACGGCAAGGAGCCAAACAAGTCCATCAACCCCGATGAAGCCGTTGCCTACGGTGCTGCCGTCCAGGCCGCCATTCTCTCCGGTGACACCTCCTCCAAGTCCACCAACGAGATCCTCCTGCTCGATGTCGCTCCCCTCTCTCTCGGTATCGAGACTGCTGGCGGTGTCATGACTCCTCTCATCAAGCGCAACACCACCATCCCTACCAAGAAGTCTGAGACTTTCTCCACCTTCTCTGACAACCAGCCTGGTGTCTTGATCCAGGTCTTCGAGGGTGAGCGTGCCCGCACCAAGGACAACAACTTGCTCGGCAAGTTCGAGCTCACTGGTATCCCACCTGCCCCCCGTGGTGTTCCTCAGATCGAAGTCACCTTCGATGTTGATGCCAACGGTATTATGAACGTCTCTGCTCTCGAGAAGGGCACTGGAAAGACCAACAAGATTGTCATCACCAACGACAAGGGCCGTCTGTCCAAGGAGGAGATCGAGCGTATGCTTGCTGAGGCCGAGAAGTACAAGGCCGAGGACGAGGCTGAGACTGCCCGTATCGGTGCTAAGAACGGTCTCGAGTCCTATGCTTACTCCCTCAAGAACACCTTGAGCGACTCCAAGGTCGACGAGAAGCTCGACGCTGCCGACAAGGAGAAACTCAAGTCCGAGATCGACAAGGTTGTTGCTTGGCTCGATGACAACCAGACCGCCACCAAGGAGGAATATGAGTCCCAGCAGAAGGAGCTTGAAGGGTATGTATATCCATTCTCGCAACACCTCCATTGAAAAGAAACATTATGCTAACATCTTTCCTTACAGTGTTGCCAACCCCATCATGATGAAGTTCTACGGTGCTGGCGGTGAGGGTGGTGCTCCAGGTGGCTTCCCAGGTGCTGGTGCTGGCGGCCCTGGCGGTTTCCCCGGTGCCGGTGCTGGTGGCGCTGCTGCCCACGACGACGGCCCAACCGTCGAGGAAGTCGACTAAATGTCTCGCTCACATCAGCGAAAAGAGACATCCTCCTTCCAACATTAAAAAAAAAAAATACCAATAATTCCTGCCAAAAAAAAAACATACATCATCATACCAAGGGGCGCCGGGTTCATCAATCATGTCATGTCTTTTCCTTTTCCTAATGAGTGCATACCATGTGTCTTTTTTAATGTCCCTTTTTCCTATGTCCTTTGATGACCATTTCCTTTTCTATCCACTTCGAACGAACCGAGGAAAAAAACATACACAGGATAGGGCGGAGGGTCGGTTACTCAAATCATTCCTTTCGAAGCAGATCCCTATTTTCCTTTTCTAAAACAAAATACAAAGTTTTTTTTCTCTTCGTTACTTCGATCATAGATGCGGTCTTCGGTGGAAAACTAATAGTTCCCTAGGTAGCAATGGAGAGCATGTTGATATTTCATATCTTTCTGATTTGTGTGTTTTGTAGATATATAAAGATTCTTTTCTTGGCATTGTCTTGAAGACAATTTCCAACGTCAACATTCCAGAATCAACAATTACTATACAGAATGATACCCTCGACTGGCGAGAGCAATTCGATATATTCGTTATTCTCATTACTTATAGCATAAATCATTTACCTAGTGTGTTCCCATTTATGGGTATGACATCCTACGACGGACATCCAAGTGCAGTATCCAGTAGCTTGGTCAACTTAATCCGTTCAATGAATCGTACCGCCGACGACACAGCACACTGATGATCTTCCTCTCTCACAAATAATGAGCACGCATGGCTAGCCACATCCTCGTCATACACGAGATCTTCAACTTCAATGTCCCCGGTATCAAAAGTACCGTTCCGGATATGTGGCGGCCTACCGTGAGATACCGCCGTCCATCTGTCCATATAGTACGTTGCCCACCATAGCTTCCTACGAAGTCTCTTTTCCCACGCTGGTATATCCCAGGCTGTGTCATTGTGGTGTAGGCCGAGGGCATGGGCACACGAAACTGCCTGCGCTGAAAGGGCGAGGATCTTGGAACCCAGCGCGGCTGCGTGTTCGGTGGGTTGAAGTTGGTGCAGAAGCAGAAGACAGGCCTGAAGGGTTGATAGCTTTGGGGATTCTATCTCTAGCTCCTTCTGCAGACTGGCGTGGACGTGTTCAAAAAGCATCTCTCGGAAAACTAGATCGGAATGGAGCGAGGTGCTATCCATGGGTAACCAGTAGGCTGCAAGAGCATATACTGCGCTTCGGAGCGTGAGAGAGATGCTATATTTATCCTGTGCGTATTCTCGCAGAAACCGGCCTTTGGAAAGCACGGGAAATGCAGGATGGACATTCGCGAAGTATAGCCGTACCAGGCTATCGGCTTGACCACTCACGATGTCTTCCACATCATCTTCGTGTAAAGTTGTGGATTTCCCTCTATATACTCCACAGAACCAAGCGCTGGATAGGGAGAAGTTGTCGGGAGGTAGATTTTGTGCTGGATCCGCGGGTTCGGCGTGGTTGAAGTTGATGTCCATATGATGGCCTAGATGATCAACGGCACCAGAGCGAAATGATGAGAGAGCATCCATAGCCTGCGGTTCCCCTGGAATGCCCATCAAATGTGCTGGGTTGCCAGTGACGTGGTTGAAGCTGTCTGTGGCCGGCGATATGGGATGCGGAGGCGGCGTTGGATTGGCAAAATATAAGTATTCCGGGAGGTTGTGGTAGACCTGTCCTGTGGCTGGGATAGCGGATGGATGATGGGGACTTGCTAAGGTGGCCGGATATCCAGGAATTGATGTTGTTGTTGTGTATTGCTCGTGATCTGATACACTCAGCATCGATACTGGGCTCAGCGCTCCTACCCCTGCCATACTCAGATGGTCCGGTGGTGATTGATAGAACGAGGCTTCGCTATGCTGCGTTGAACCGCCCGAACTGGTAGCCATATTGACAGGAGGAGATGTGCTATGCTCGGCATCTTTCTCTTGACTCTTAGCTGGTGGCCGACGGCGCGGCTTTGGAGTCGATATAAAAGAGCAGGTCACACATTTGCTTTCACAGAAACGACCTATCCAAGTCAGTCAGCAAGGACAACCACTGAAGGAAAGGGGCGATCTAACGCGGTAGTTATACGAACATGGCGGTTTGGTTACAATGACACATGCAGTCTTTCTCTGTCGGCACGCATCGCATGGCCTATCTTTGCGGCTCTTTAGTTCTCTTGCTCCTCCAAAGCGAGTTTCTATCTGGAAACTCTTTCGCTGCTTTGGTTGTTTCTTTTGAGCTATGTCTGCCATGGTCATCAACTGAACTGTAGAGGGAAGGCTCCGGAGTATCACTCTCTATATATTATCAACACAGTCGATTGATACGGTATCAACAAAGAATAGATAGAGAAAAGGTACGGCGGCCAACACCCCGACTGTGGATATATCTTTTTTTTGCCTGCTTGAAAATCAGGGACACCCGGGGGTCAGGCTCTATACATATTGCCTTACAGCCACCGAAGCCGGGCGAGAGACCGAGCACAACGGGTCCCTAATGCAAGGCATCATGAGTCCGTCCAAAAGCAAGGCCTGGACGCTCGCTCTCTTTCCCCCCCTTCGTCAAGGTCTCCCCACACGCTAGGCTCGATCATTCCCGGTGAGACGGTGGAGCATAACTTTGATAGATCGAGGACAACTGGAGAGGCCGTATAGGGTATCTACAGCCCCTCTCCAACTCCGACCTCCGGGCACTAGCAAGGAGGATACGAAGAGAAAAGCAATGGGAACGATCTTCGCAGAACAGGTTCTTCTTGTTTCCTCGAGTACGAAGCCAATACGACACCAGACTGGTCTGCATAGCGACGCTTCCGAAACACTTGCGTCTGGGGGCAAACTGACAAAAAGCCTTCATTTCTCTGTGGTTAAAATTTTGGTTTAAGGCTCGAGAAGTCAACGCCCGAGCAAGAGTTCCACCCTGCGCTTCGCCATTCTAAATACGGAAACTCGAATGCTGGTATTCCACCAATCCGCGCTGCGTTATGCCGGGCCAGGCGACTGGAGAAAGGAAGAACCACGGTCAAGCTTTTGCCCAAATGGGTTTGATTGATGTCAATCGACCCCGTAGTTAACGGTTCGGAGATGCTGCGGCTAGGAGTGCAAGCTGTTGTTTGCTCCATCGTAGCAGCTGGCTAGTTAGTTGACTAGTTGAGTAGTTGATCATTGCGATCAATGTCATTGTCAGTACCCAGGGCAGAGGGTTGACGAGTAGCTGTGAAAGCATGAGGATGACCAGAGGCAACTCTGTGATAGAGCGATGATATCAGCTGAAATTCTCCCCGCATCAGTAGACATATAATCATTCCCTTGCTGGTTATCGCTTGACCCGGCTTCTTTGGACGTTATAGCCACTACAGGACTTATATACCAATATATACGCCTACCTGCTAACCATGAGCCAGATTCCAGTCATCGACTTTGCACTGTTCCGCGATGGAAGCCCGGAAGATGCAGAGGCTACAGGGAAGAAGATCTTCGAGGCATTTCGAGATGTTGGATTCGTCTACTTGAAGAACCACGGCGTCCCCCAGGAGGTTGTTGATGAGGCGTTTTCCTGGGTATGGTCATGGCTAGCTGCAAATATCAATCTACTGACGCTTTAGTTATAGAACAAAAAACTGTTCGACCTTCCACAGTCTGAGAAGGAAAAGGCGCCTCACCCGCCAGAGGGATGGTGGCATCGAGGCTACTCCGGCGTAGGCCGCGAGAAGGTGACCCAGATGGTGTTTGACAGCGACACCCTCGGCGAGCTCCGCAAGATCCCCGACGTCAAGGAGTCCTTCGAGATGGGACGAGAGGACGACGAGATCACCCCCAACATCTGGCTGCCAGAGTCGACCATCCCTGGGTTCCGTGCGTTCTTCAACAACTTCTTCGAGATCAACCATGATGTTGGGCAGGAAATATTGCGCGCAGTGGCGATAGGGATGGGGCTCGACAGGGACTTTTTCGAATCGTACCATACGATGAAAGACAACCAGATCAGACTACTTCACTACCCTCCCGTGGAAGAGGAGATGCTTCGACAGGGTGAAAAAGAGCGTATAGCTGCTCATACTGACTTTGCTACGATGACTCTACTCTTCCAGGACGACGTTGGCGGGCTGGAAGTCGAAGATATCCGCCAAACGGGGGTGTTCAATCCTGTTCCATACATCCCTGGCACTATGGTGGTAAACATTGGGGATTTCCTTATGAGATGGAGTAACGATACGCTTCGGTCGACGATGCATCGGGTCAGGGCTCCGCCGGTGGTAAACGTGGATGAGAACGAGCAGGAGAAGGATGGGGGTTCGGGTGGTCGACGAATGAGTCGGGCCAGGTACTCGATTCCTTATTTCATTGCTGCAAATAAGAACAAGGTGATTGACTGCCTGCCTGGCTGCCATGGTCCGGACCGACCCAAGAAGTATGCGCCGATTACTTCGGGGGATTATATCGCCATGAGACTGAATGCCATCTCCTAGATAGTGTCCATAACTACGTAGCTGCTTTTTAGTCTTATGTTGTTTACAGAATGATGATGAGATCTAACGTGCCATCAGCTAAAATCGTTCTCTAAACTACCCCCATATCATCGCCTTCGAGCCTCATTCCCGCCAGCATGGTAACTTTGCCCTGGCGTGGGTCGTGCCGAAGAGGCAAAAGGACGACTGATGAGACTTCCTCGCCACTAGTTGCCCCTTTGATACAGAGCCAGGACTGCCTCGCTTCTCGATTATGGGGCTCTAGCAAGGAGTTCCCTAGATGAAAGAAAGAGGTCATCCTAGATACACTATTATTATGGTCAAACACAGTCCACAATCGGGTTAAATATAGCAGCCTGGACACTCAGGAGTTAGTCCGAGGTGGATTTCATCTTTGCTTCTAACTAGCTAGTTCTCACTAACTAGTTAGTTAACCAGTTAGCTAGTTTCCCAGGACATGGATACTTCGATCTTCATTGACTTTGGTTCTCACGATCGTTTAGTTAGCTAACTACCCAGAAAATAACGTGGCTCATCCTGGATAACGGCTTCCTAGCCGAGATCGACCAGTTGAAGTAGTTATCCAAATAGTTACTCGCGACATATAGGTCTAAACTCGATAGTTCAGAGAACAAGCTGTAAAGGTGCATGATGGTTGTACCGAGTCTGTTGCCCTTGGTGATGGTTACATGAACTATGCAGATCACCCTGCGTTGGGCGGTGACATGGCTTGATCAATACTCTGGCCCTTCCCACACCCCGGGGCTGTTATGATAACGTATGAAGATGTTGTATTTCTTAAGATGGTTCTAGAGGAACAAGCCTGAAGTAAGTTCTAGGCTTAATAATACCTGACTAATATAATATATCTGAAGATATAATATATAATATTACTATATTCTTAAAAAAGAGCGAAGTTAGTAGTATTTAGTTCTTAAGAGTTACTAGTACTTCTAAAAGGTATAAACGACAAGTAGGTAGTTCTTTAAAAAGGTAGTATAAGGTTTCTAGAAGTTCTAAGAGCTATCTTTTCCTTACTATCTAACTCTATATATAAGGTTATTCTCTCCTAATCTTAAATTAAGTATTTTTTTAACTTTATATTATTCTTAACTATCTAGTATATAAGGAGGAGGTAGAGGTAGAGAGTAGTTAAACTTATTAAAGGGGATAGGTTTAAGATAAATAATATTTATTACTAGGTATATATTCTTATATTTTAGAAGTAGCTATAGTTTATAGGCGAGCTTACTAACCTATTAAATAATAGGGAAGAGGCTAATATATAAAGGAGTAAGTACTAAATTTTTAAATAATTAATATCTATATTTACCTTTTTATACTACTTAAAGAAAAACTTAATTTTTAAATTAAATAGAAGAGTATTTTATATTATAGTATAATACTATCTTAGTTTATATAAGTACGAGAGTATTAGTAATATTAAAATAAATTTATTATTTAGTATTAATAAATTTATCTATAGTATAATAGAGAGGAGAAGGAAAAGAAGTATCTATAATTATATAAGAATTAATTCTATAAAATATTAAGAAAGAACTTATATTTATTAAGAAGTATTTCACTATATTTAGAGTAAACTTAATTTTAGAAAGGAGAGATATCTAAATATTAATATAAGCTTCTAGTACTATTAGAATAGTCTATAGGGTATATTTAATTACTTAATTTAATTACTCTATTTAACTATCTAATTAAGGATTATATATTATTATATAATATAGTAGGACTCTTACTTTTAAAAATAGAGCTCTCTAAAAGATTAATAGAAAGTATCTATTATAGTTTAAGATTATCTTAATTAGGAAACCCTAATAATAAATAATTTCTCTATAGAATTATAGGATCTAGTCCTAAGTACTATTTAAGACTTTTCTAAAAATATATTAAATATACTTCGAAAATTTATTAGTAACTATTATAATAGAATCATTTCCTTTAGAAGATAGGAGGCTAATAATAAAGTTAATAAAGAGAATATTAAAAGGAGTTAAGGAAATAATAAATTAAAGGGTACTATAAAGTTAATATAGGTATATTTTAGAAATTATATATACTAAGTATTCTTAAATATATTTTATAATAATATTATATAAATTAGGTATAAAAATCTATTTATATAAATATTAATATATTTTATTAATTCCTCTATAGATAGATTTATTATATACTTTTTATAGAAAATATTAAATTATAAATTTAGGGATATATAAATAATTTAAAGATTTTAAAATATAAAAAAGAAGTTTGATTTAAGTATTAATATAGAATTAATAAAATAAAAGAACTAACTCTTTTACTAAAGATATAGAAAGGAGTTTAGAGTAAATCTTACTAAATATTTAATCTTTCTATAAATCTATCTAAATCTATTTTATAAAATTATCTTTTATTTATAGAAGGGGTATAGATTTAGTAGCTTAAGATAATATATAAGTTATTAGAGTTTTAATAAAGTTTTTCTAAGATAGTCTAAATAGTATATCTATATTTTTATAAGTAAGTCTAGCTTAATAAATAATTATTATCTAAGGGAAATAAGTAGAGAAAATTAGAGACTATTTATTTATTCTTTAATTCTAGTACTTAGAGATAGATATAGTCTAAAGTGTGATTTTAAAAGTATTATAATCTAGTATAACTTTAAAATAGCTATAATTAAAGAAGTATAGAGCTTTTTAGAGTATCTAAATTAATATAGTAGTCTCTAATTCTATAGCTTTATAGCTCTATTCTACTAATAATAATAGCCTAAATAGAAAATAGATAGACTACTCCTAATTATTCCTATTCTTCTAATAGATTACTATTTTAAAATTATCCTTTGATTCGTTAATATATAGTATAAAGGGTTTTTCCTAATTAAAGAAGGTAAGAACTAAAGCTATTAAAATAGCTTCTTTTATATACTTTTAAGTAATTCTGGCTACTTATAGTTAAGAATCTAAGGCTAAGGTTTAGAAAGTTTAAAAAGTAAATTTTTAATATTATTTTCCTAAATAGGGACTTAACTTAAAGAAGGATATTTTTAAAGTTTAAAGAGAAGCTATAATTTAGATATATCTATTTATAAATTATTAATAATACCCGAAAAGTTCTAAATCTATCTTTAATTATTTAAGGGTTATTAAGAAGTATAGATATTTAATAGTAGCTATCTTCTCTTTCTAAATTAAGAGGCCTAATCTAGAAATATATAGACATAGAAGATTAATTAAAAAGTATATAAAGTAATATTTTAAGATAAATAATATAATACTAAGTTCTAAAAGTTAGAAGAGAATATTATTAAGGTCTATTAAGTATTAAAAAAGAGAGAGGGAATAAATTATAATATTATTAAGATATATAAGAACTAATTTCTATAGATATTTCCTTAAGGTTTATTCTATTAAATATTAAAGAAAGGTTAGAGAGTTTAAGAGTTCTATAGTAGTTTCTTTTATATATTTATATCCTCTATAAGGAGTAATAAAAGCTATTTTATATTTATTAGCTTTTATTATAAGAATTTAGAAAAATAACTTTATAATATTAAGAAAAGTAAAAATTATAGAACCTCTAAGAGCTAAGAGAATATAGTCTTACTTTAGAATAAAGTAGGTATCTAATTAAAGCTTAGTATTAATATAGTAAAGGTTAATAATAAGTTTTAATTTTCTATTCCTCTATACTATAAATATAAGTAAAGTAATAAAAGAGGGGTTATTAAGGGGTATTTTCTTAATTCTATTATATTCTTAAGTTTA